CAATAAACTAATTCTAACATATTCTTTCAGTAAACATGTCTGTAACAACTCTATAACTTGAACAAGAGATTCTAATAACTTCTTTCAGTAAACATGTCTGTAACATCTCTATAACTCAATCAACTAATTCTAATATCTTTTTTTCAGAAAACATGTCTGTACAACTCTTTAACTCAATCAACTGATTCTAATAACTTCTTTCAGTAAACATGTCTGTAACATCTCTATAACTCAATCAACTAATTCTAATATCTTTTTTCAGAAAATATGTCTGTAACATCTCTATAACTCAATCAACTGATTCTAATAACTTCTTACAGTAAACATTGATATTCTGTGAAACATGTGGAATAACAATCAGATACATCTACTTGTAAGTTTTATCAGAGAATGTGTACTTGTTTTAATTTTTTCGTTCTTTAACCATTATGTATATTAAAATGTGTTTTCTCCAGTTTACATATAATTAACGTGGAAGGTATTGTCATGGCTCACCATGTCAACACGTTTTTTTACTCTCATTAATTTTTCGTTACTTGCTACACTGTATTTATTCTACGTCTCACTGACTGTTATTCAACAATGATAACGAACGTTTCGTCTTACAGATATCACGAGGCGATTTTTTATTTTCACAGTTTCAAGTAAAGTTCATGCAACATCAAACAAACGGTTCTCTGTAGCCCGAACTTAAAAATCTCCACATAATGAATACATTGTGAGTTTGTTTAAGAATTTTCACGTAAGGTTACAAAAAGGGCTATCTGTGCATAGCTTTCCCTAATTTTGAATTGATAGACTAGATGGAAGGCAGCTAGCCAACAGCTCTCACCGCCAACTCTTGGGACTACTCTTATCTGACAAAATAGTGGGATTTGACTGTCACTCATACAATTAACTCACGGCTCCCAAGTACGAAGCGCGTTTATACAACAACGTGCACCACGAACCTGGCACGTTAACTAACAGTGCACGTTTACTTTGACCATGGAGTGAACTTGAAAACACGTATTTGCAAACCATGTGATAACGGTTCACAACTGCGAAGATTGGATTTTCTTAAGAGGTGTTTCAAGTCCTCAACAAAATGTTTGAAACTATTTATCTCTTACTGAATATCTCACCTGGCACATTGTTAGAGCTTAAAATTTAGATAGTGACAGTAAACTTAAATCAATATTGAAGTAATCTTTACCGTGTTTGACACTGACAGTGTTTATTTTTTCGTTCTCAT